CAGCCAATACTACAAACGCCCAGCCAATACTACGAACACCCAGCCAATGTTACAAACACCCAGCCAATGTTACAAACACTCAGCCAATGTTACAAACACCCAGCCAATACTACGAACACTCAGCCAATGTTACAAACACCCAACCAATACTACGAACACCCAGCCAATGTTACAAACACCCAGCCAATACTACGAACACTCAGCCAATACTACAAACGCCCAGCCAATACTACAAACACCCAGCCAATGTTACAAACACTCAGCCAATACTACGAACACTCAGCCAATGTTTCAAACACTCAGCCAATACTACGAACACCCAGCCAATACTACAAACACCCAGCCAATGGTTACAAACACTCAGCCAATACTACGAACACTCAGCCAATGTTTCAAACACTCAGCCAATACTACGAACACCCAGCCAATACTACAAACACCCAGCCAATGTTACAAACACTCAGCCAATACTACGAACACTCAGCCAATGTTTCAAACGCCCAGCCAATACTACGAACACCCAGCCAATACTACAAACACCCAGCCAATGTTACAAACACTCAGATAATACTACGAACACTCAGCCAATGTTACAAACACCCAGCCAATACTACGAACACTCAGCCAATGTTACAAACACTCAGCCAATACTAAGAACACCCAGCCAATACTACGAACACTCAGGCAATGTTACAAACACCCAGCCAATACTACGAACACTCAGCCAATGTTTCAAACACTCAGCCAATACTACGAACACCCAGCCAATACTACGAACACTCAGGCAATGTTACAAACACCCAGCCAATACTACGAACACTCAGCCAATGTTACAAACACCCAGCCAATACTACGAACACTCAGCCAATGTTACAAACACTGAGCCAATACTACGAACACTCAGGCAATGTTACAAACACCCAGCCAATACTACGAACACTCAGGCAATGTTACAACACCCAGCCAATACTACGAAACACTCAGGCAATGTTACAAACACCCCAGCCAATACTACGAACACTCAGGCAATGTTACAAACACCCAGCCAATACTACGAACACTCAGGCAATGTTACAAACACCCATCCAATACTACGAACACTCAGCCAATGTTACAAACACCCAGCCAATACTACGAACACTCAGCCAATGTTACAAACACCCACCCAATGCTACTAACACCCAGTCAATGCTAGAAACACCCAGCCTATGCTACTAACACCCAGCCTACGCTACTAACACCCAGCCAATGCTAGAAACACCCAGACAATGCTAGAAACACCCAGCCATTGCTATAAACATCATTTTAAGTATCCAGCTAAGTAGCAGTTCCCAGAATGAACCACAAAACACCTCCTTTCTAACACCCAGATAACTCACAATCCCCAGAGTAAGCCACCTTTCGTGTTTTGGTACCACGGTGACGAAATGGTCAACTACGACGCTAATCGTCACCGCCTCAGCGTGGTCACCAAGGTGGAGGGCACCAGGACTCACTCACGTCTCACCATCACTGACGCAAGGTGAGTGTTGACGCACCATCACCACTGACGCCTGTATCTTCACTCACACCATCACTCACACACTGTTACTGACACCATCACTGACATCACTCACAACCATCACTCACACCTACCATTACTCACACCTACCATCACTCACAACCATGACTCAGAACCACCGTCACTCACAACCACCATCACTTACATCCATCATCACTCACAACTAACACTCACAACCACCGTCACTCACAGCAGGCATCATTCATAATCACCATCACTCATAACCACCATCACTCATAATCACCATCACTCATAATCACCATCACAACAACCATCACTCACAACAACCATCACAACCACCATCACAACCACCATCACAACCACCATCACTCACACCCACGATCACTTACAACCACCATCACTTACATCCACCACCACTCACAACCGCCATGACTCACAACTACCACCAATCACAACAGCCATCACCCATAATCACCATCACTCATAATCACCATCACTCATAATCACCATCACAACAACCATCACTCACGACAACCATCACTCACAACAACCATCACAACAACCATCACAACAACCATCACAACCACCATCACAACCACCATCACTTATATCCACCACCACTCACAACCGCCATGACTCACAACTACCACCAATCACAACAGCCATCACCCATAACCACCATCACTCATAATCACCATCACTCGTAATCACCATCTCTGACACAATAACGCGTTTGTCTGGTATGTAACAAAGATAGTGTATTAGATCATACTGAATTTATTTATATGTCAAAGCATTTACAGTCCAAAATATTCCCTTATTTGCACAAGAAGTCGAAGAGTTAACTACTGAGGCTGCAAGTTAGACTCTGTCTACCGTATATATCTTCACACATGCAACATTCTCCACCTGACTATCCTGTACTCTCCTACCTTTTACTCAGGTAGATCTATTTGTGACTTAATAAAGTCAGCTGTGTGGGCGAAACGTTGCCAATAAAGTATCACATTATACTGCCGAAGTGTTTATATTTGCCGTATATAGGGTTTAACGTTGACTAAGTGTAAGCAGACTGAGAATTACACTCCTCCAGGAGTACTACGATATTTGTTGTAAGTTCACATACGTTAATAATCTTGACAGTATGAGACACTTACGTCCATCAACTGCCTAGATATATATATTACAGGAATAATTTAATTTAATTTCCAAATATATATATATATATCTTAATAAACATAACTATGTGTATATACGTTCAGAAACAGAAATCTCTGTGTGATACAGACATCTGTGTGCACACACTGAGAGGATCGTAGATCTGGCAGTGAATTTACAGAGTATCATCCACCTCGCGGTGTATATGTCATGCCGAATAGGTAAAACTTGCGATTTTGGCTTAAATAGCAACGCTCTTCTTGCCGAATAAGGCAAGCGAAAATTTGTGTACGCTATAATTTCGCAAAAATCATTCTGAACATAACGAAAAAAATATATTTCATTGTGTTTATTATCAAATTATTATAAACTTATCTAAAATATGTTTAGTTGGATCAGGTTAAGTTAACTGCGCGTGTTATAGTAATGTTAGGTAAGTTTTCTAACTTTTTGGTACAAAATTATTAATTTTTACATTAACATAAATGAAACAAATAAATCCTATTTCATACCATAGTTCCTTGATAATGTGAGAAGTCACGAAAGCGCTGAATTTCACAATTTTTTTCACAGTGGTTGTTGTGCACATTATTTACTGTGGTCTTATTACATTTCTTTAAACGTTTAAGAGAAAATTTTAGAAAGGACTTAATTTTAAATGAGTTATTGCTAATTGACCAGTTTTACCTATTCGGCACGACATATATAAATAAATGAGATACAGCTTACTCAGTGTATATAACAGCGAAATACAGATCCCTACGTATTACATAAATGGTTGAGAATACAAATATGATCAATGAAATACGTCCTGCACTTAAGTATTTTTACTGAGAAAACTTTTGATAAGTTGTGGCTATATTTATCCAGTACAGAGAAAGATGGTAGAAAATGTGAGGAGGGAGAGCAATCAGTCACGATGAATGTTCTGTATATGTCCTCTGAGAGGGCTTATATACTGGAAATAGGTGAGGTGAAGCAGATGTAGGTGGAGTCGTGAGTGTGTAGAGTTCATTAGTGGAAGTAGGTCATATCATACACGCACACACACACACACACACACACAGTGTTTGTCTATGGGCTAGACGAAGCTAAAGGGGAAACTTATGATGAAAGAAAGCAGGAGGAGAAAAAAGCGATTGAAGATATCATGAAGGTGATAGGCGAGGGGGACATGACCCAGGTGGCAAATTTTCGGAGAATTGGGTGGTTCACAAAGAAAAGGAATCGGCCTCTCAAAGTAATTTTCAAGGCAGAATCAACCCGAACCATGATCCTGCAGGAGAAAACACGGCTGAGAGGCAAGCAGGAGTTCCGGAGTGTGTACCTCGATCGAGACAGAACACAGGACGAAAGGAAGACAATGAAAGAGAGAGTTCAAAAACGAAAGGAGAAATGGGAGGAAATGAAAAAGGAGAGCAGAATAATCCAGGATCAAATGAAAGGACAAGCGCACCCCCCAGAAACACCTGCATAAGGACTCCAGCCACGACACCCCCAAAGCAACTGAACAATCCAAACCAACCATCACACACCGATCCCTCTGTTTCCACCCCCCGCACCACAGTTACAGTATTAGAACAGAAGTTGAAGGTTTGGTACACAAATGCAGATGGATTAACGAATAAACATGAGGAATGGCAAGAAAGAATCAATGAGAAGTCCCCAGATATCATAGCAGTTACAGAAACAAAACTCATGGAGACAATAACAGATGCAATCTTCCCACCAGGATACCAGATCATGAGGAAAGATAGAAGGGGCAGGGGGGGAGGTGGGGTTGCTCTGCTCGTAAAAAACAGATGGAAATTCGAGAAAATGGAAGGAATAGATGAGACGGGAGAAAGAGACTACATAGCAGGTACACTTCAGTCTGGGGAACACAAAGTGGTCATTGCAGTGATGTATAATCCACCACAGAACTGCAGGAGGCCAAGAGAGGAGTGTGAAGAGAGCAACAGAGCAATGGTGGACACACTTGCTGAGGTGGCAAGAAGAGCTCACTCCAGCAGAGCAAAGTTGCTGGTTATGGGGAATTTCAACCACAGGGAGATTGACTGGGAAAACATGGAGCCACATGGGGGTCCCGAAACATGGAGAGCCAGGATGTTGGACGTGGTGCTGGAAAACCTCATGCACCAACATGTTAAGGACACTTCGAGAGTGAGAGCGGAGGATGAACCAGCAAGACTGGACCTTGTGTTCACCCTGGGCAGCTCAGATATTGTGGACATCAAGTATGAGAGTCCCCTAGGAGCTAGCGACCACGTGGTTCTGTGCTTTGAATACATAGTAGAGCTGCAAGTGGAGAGAATAACAGGAGTTGAATGGGAAAAGCCTGACTATAAAAGAGGGGACTACATAGGGTTGAAGAACTTCCTGCGGGAGGTCCAGTGGGACAGAGAACTGGCAGGAAAGCCAGTAAATGAAATGATGGAATATGTAACAACAAAATGCAAGGAGGCAGTGGAAAGGTTTATTCCCAAGGGCAACAGTAACAACGGGAAGACCAGAACGAGCCCCTGGTTTACCCGACGGTGTAAGGAGGCAAAAGCAAAATGCAATAGAGAATGGAAAAAGTACAGAAGGCAGAGAACACACGAAAATAGGGAGATCAGTCGCAGAGCCAGGAATGAGTACGCACAGGTAAGGAGGGAGGCCCAGCGACAGTATGAAAATGACATAGCATCGAGAATCAAGACTGACCCGAAACTGTTGTATAGCCACATCAGGAGGAAGACAACAGTCAAAGACCAGGTGATCAGATTAAGGACAGAAGGTGGAGAACTCACAAGAAATGATCAGGAGGTATGTGAGGAGCTGAACAGGAGATTTAAGGAAGTTTTTACAGTAGAGACAGGAAGGGCTCTGGGAAGACAGCACAGAAGGGAACATCAAGAGGGAATATACCAACAAGTGTTGGATGACATACGAACAACTGAGGAGGAGGTGAAGAAGCTCTTAAGTGACCTTGACACCTCAAAGGCGATGGGACCGGACAACATCTCCCCATGGGTCCTTAGAGAAGGAGCAGAGATGCTGTGCGTGCCTCTAACCACAATCTTCAACACATCCCTTGAAACTGGGCAACTACCTGAGAAATGGAAGACAGCTAATGTAGTCCCCATATTTAAGAAAGGAAACAGAAACGAGGCATTAAACTACAGACCTGTGTCTCTGACATGTATTGTGTGCAAAGTCATGGAGAAGATTATCAGGAGGAGAGTGGTCGAACACCTGGAAAGGAACAAGATTATAAATGAAAACCAGCATGGGTTCATGGAAGGCAAATCTTGTATCACAAACCTCCTGGAGTTTTATGACAAGGTAACAGAAGTAAGACACGAGAGAGAGGGGTGGGTAGATTGCGTTTTCCTAGACTGCAGGAAGGCCTTTGACACAGTTCCCCACAAGAGATTAGTGCAGAAGCTGGAGGATCAGGCGCACGTAAAAGGGAGGGCACTGCAATGGATAAGGGAATACCTGACAGGGAGGCAGCAACGAGTCATGGTACGTGAAGAGGTATCACAGTGGGCGCCTGTTACGAGCGGGGTCCCACAGGGGTCAGTTCTAGGACCAGTGCTATTTTTGATATATGTGAACGACATGATGGAAGGAATAGACTCTGAAGTGTCCCTTTTCGCAGATGACGTGAAGTTGATGAGAAGAATTAAATCGGACGAGGATGAGGCAGGACTGCAAAGAGACCTGGACAGGCTGGACATGTGGTCCAGCAACTGGCTTCTCGAATTCAATCCAGCCAAATGCAAATTCATGAAGATTGGGGAGGGGCAAAGAAGACCGCAGACAGAGTATAGGCTAGGTGGACAAAGACTACAGACCTCACTCAGGGAGAAAGACCTTGGGGTGACCATAACACCGAGCACATCACCGGAGGCACACATCAACCAAATAACCGCTGCAGCATACGGGCGCCTGGCAAACCTGAGAATAGCGTTCCGATACCTTAATAAGGAATCGTTCAAGACACTGTACACTGTGTATGTTAGGCCCATACTGGAGTATGCAGCACCAGTCTGGAACCCACACCTGGTCAAGCACGTCAAGAAGTTAGAGAAAGTACAAAGGTTTGCAACAAGGCTAGTCCCAGAGCTCAAGGGAATGTCGTACGAGGAAACGTTAAGGGAAATCGGACTGACGACACTGGAGGACAGAAGGGTCAGGGGAGACATGATAACGACATACAAGATACTGCAGGGAATAGACAAGGTGGACAGAGATAGGATGTTCCAGAGAGGGGACACAGGGACGAGGGGTCACAACTGGAAGCTGAAGATTCAGACGAGTCACAGGGACGTTAGGAAGTATTTCTTCAGTCATAGAGTTGTCAGCAAGTGGAATAGCCTAGCAAGTGAAGTAGTGGAGGCAGGAACCATACATAGTTTTAAGAAGAGGTATGACAAAGCTCAGGAAGCAGAGAGAGAGAGGATCCAGTAGCGATCAGTGAAGAGGCGGGGCCAGGAGCTGAGTCTCGATCCCTGCAACCACAATTAGGTGAGTACAATTAGGTGAGTACAGTGCTGGACACGCTACTCAAATTCGAGGAGATGAGGTTGTTACTTGAAATAGATACCTCAAAGGCGGTGCAACAGGACAATATCTCTCCGTCGATCTTAAGAGAGGCAGCAGAGACGCTGTGTGTGCCACTAACAAGAGTCTTCAACTGAGGTTTGGAAGACATCAAATGCAGTCCCAATTTCTAAAAAGGGAGACAGATAGGCAGCTTAAACTACAGACTAATGTCTCTGACAGGTACAGAATCCATAGTCAATGAGAAGATTATTAGGTGAAGAGTGGTGGACCACATAAAAAGGAATGATCTTGTACCTGATAACCAGCACAGATTCAGGGAAGGGAAATCCTGTGTCACAGACCTACTGGAGTTTTACGACGAGGTGTTAGAAGCAAGATTGGAGAGAGAGAGAGATGGGTAGACTGCATTTTCTTGGACTGTAAGAAGGCTTTCGACAGTTTTCTGCAGAAGAGATTAGTGCAAAAACTTTAAGGCATTAATAACAAGAAAGCACTGCATTAGATCAAAGAATACCTGACAGGAAGAAAACAATGAGACATGGTACGTGACAAAGTGTCAGAGTGGGCGCCTGTGACGTGCGGGGTTCCACAAGGCTTACTCCTAGTGCCGAAGAGATGAGGATCAGGTAGGACTAACAAAGGGATGTGGACAGGCTGCAAACTTGGCCCATCAACTGGCTCTTGCAGTTTAACTCCACCAAGTGCAAAGTCAGGAAGATTGGGGAGGGACAAAAAAGACCGAGGACGGAGTACAGGCTTGGAGGCCAAAGGATGCAAACCTCACTCAAGGAAAAGAATATTGGGGTGAGTATCATACCGAGCACATATCGTTTCGACACCAGGCCCATGTAGGAGTATACGGCACCAGAATGGAGCCCACAGCTGGTCAAACACGTCAAGATATTAGATAAAGTGCAAAGGTTTTGCAACAAAACTAGTCCCGGAGCTAAGGGGTATGTCCTATGAGAAGCAGTTAAGGGAAATCACCCTGACGACATTGAAGACAGAAGGGACTTGATAATGACATAAAATACTAAGAATTGATATGAGGGATAGTGACAGATTGTTTAAGAGATGGGACACAGCAACAAGGGGTCACAACTGGAAGTTGTGTGGGATGTTAGGAAGTATTTCTTCAGTCATAAAGTTGTCAGGAAGTGGAACAATCTGGAGAGTGATGCAGTGGAGGCAGGAAGCATACATAGCTTTAAGAAGACATTCGATAAATCACACAGAGCAGGGAGAGAGTGGACCTAGTAGCGACCAGCAAAGAGGCTGGGCCAGGAACTGTGAATCGACCTCTGCAACCACAAATAGGTGAGTACATATAGATGAGTATACACACAAAAAAGCAAACAAGCACCCATAAAGACACAGACTAAAGAAGAGTTTTCAACGAGCTTTGTGCAGTGACAAGCACAAGAATAGAGAAACAGTAAACCAGAGACTAAATAGATGTGGCGGCACTACTGAGGAGGTACTGTCAGGTAGTCCATGAAGGCTGGGATGAAGGAAGCATTGGAAGCCTTGCTAGACACAAGCGGAAATGGCTCTTACCACCGAGGAAAATATGCTTGGAAGAAGGTTTCTAAAGGATGAAGGTAGAACTAGAGGAGATGAAGAGAAGGTGTGAGTTAGAGATAGTACCACATGCAACAGGTGGAGAGCTAGAAGGGAAGGCAGAGGCGGCAGGAAAGCTCAGGAAACCAGAAAGTGACGATGAAATGGGAAGCTGAAAACAGCTAATTACAAACAACAATAAATATGCATTGGAGGGAAAGGGAGGGAGAGGAGGAGGTTAGAAGGTGATCGCTGATTATCCATGAACTCCAAGAAGATGAAGGGATGACAACTAGTGAGTTATGGGCAGTGACAAATTTTGCAAGGAGCAAAATACGGCTGGTTAAGCTAACTCTTCATCAGAAATGGTACGAGATGAATTCATGAGACGATAACGTTGTTGAGGAGGACTGATAGATATAAGTTTGTGTACCTCTACCTGGACAGAACGTTACAAGAGAACAACTGAGGGAGAAAACACGAAACTGTCGAAGATAAGTTGAAGAAGAACCAGTGAATGCAGAAGCTTGTCTTCCAGTATGTTGTCTTCCAGTATGTTAAGAAATGTAGTGTTTGTATGCAACATAAAGGAAATGTCAATGGTCCTAATCCAATCGTTGGTCAACGTTACTGTGTGGAAGCTCTGCCACGGGGGAAGACCAGGTTCCAGTACACAGTCCCTCAGCCCCAAACCTCCATTTGATTCAAAAGATAATTTACAATATATCGTACCCTTCCTCCCCCTACCCACCTAAACCCCCATTCCAAACCCCAACCAGTGCAGGAACATCTTCGCCAAACCCCCATGTCAGGTCCAACCCGCCTTCCCTTGATCCCCATCCACCCTCTCCCACACCCACAGTCAAGCTTCCTTCCACAGGAAGATCCAGCCCACATCTAACCCTTACCTCCTCCCACTAACTTCCAACCTTCCCTATACCAACACCTACCCTATACCAACACCTCCCTTATACCAACACCATCCCTGACACATGAACACCAACAAGGAGAAATAATAATGGCCCATTACGCAGGTACGATAACAGAAAGGCGACTGAAAATGCGCTAAGTTATTACAGGTGGGAAATCAATAAGAGTGATGAATGGAAAGAGAAAATAATGGCGACATCCGAGGACATTGCAGCAATAAAAGAGATCAAACTCACAGAGGAAACTAAAAAACAGTTTTCCCAAGATATCAAATAATGAAGGAAGAAGAGAAGCCACACAGCAGGTTGAGGAGCACCATTACTGATCACAACCAGTGGAGGTTAAAGTCACGTCCTTATTAATCTCCAGTACAGAACTTATTATGCAACGTATTTTCAAATGTTGCATAAAAAAGAGTGTTAATATTATTCTTTTCATCTGAATTATACAGTATGTTTGAAAAAAATGGACCCCAATTTCGAAGCAAATTGCTTTGAAATTGGGTCCATCTTTTTGAAACACCTTGTATATAAATCTTCAATTAACACTAGAGTGAAAAGAGTTGTTGAAATTTATTTGAGTAAATTAATTCTTTGAGTAAAAACTCAATTTTAAATATATTAAAAATAATTATGTACTCTCATAACTGGAAAACTGTTAGTAACACTTACACCTGTTTCCCAGTGTATGATACATGGCTCATGTATACCAGTGTATGATACATGGCTCATGTATACCAGTGTATGATACATGGCTCATGTTTCCCAGTGTATGATACATGGCTCATGTTTACCAGTGTATGATACATGGCTCATGTTTACCAGTGTATGATACATGGCTCATGTTTACCAGTGTATGATACATGGCTCATGTATACCAGTGTATGATACATGGCTCATGTTTCCCAGTGTATGATACATGGCTCATGTATACCAGTGTATGATACATGGCTCATGTTTCCCAGTGTATGATACATGGCTCATGTTTACCAGTGTATGATACATGGCTCATGTTTACCAGTGTATGATACATGGCTCATGTTTACCAGTGTATGATACATGGCTCATGTATACCAGTGTATGATACATGGCTCATGTTTACCAGTGTATGATACATGGCTCATGTTTACCAGTGTATGATACATGACTCATGTTTCCCAGTGTATGATACATGGCTCATGTATACCAGTGTATGATACATGGCTCATGTTTACCAGTGTATGATACATGACTCATGTTTACCAGTGTATGATACATGGCTCATGTTTACCAGTGTATGATACATGACTCATGTTTCCCAGTGTATGATACATGGCTCATGTATACCAGTGTATGATACATGGCTCATGTTTACCAGTGTATGATACATGACTCATGTTTACCAGTGTATGATACATGGCTCATGTTTCCCAGTGTATGATACATGACTCATGTTTCTCAGTGTATGATACATGACTGATGTTTCTCAGTGTATGACACATGGCTCATGTTTCCCAGTGTATGATACATGGCTCATGTTTCCCCGTGTATGATACATGACTCATGTTTCCCAGTGTATGATACATGACTCATGTTTCCCAGTGTATGATACATGGCTCATGTTTCCCAGTGTATGATACATGGCTCATGTTTCCCAGTGTATGATACATGACTCATGTTTCTCAGTGTATGATACATGGCTCATGTTTCTCAGTGTATGATACATGACTCATGTTTCTCAGTGTATGATACATGGCTCATGTTTCTCAGTGTATGATACATGACTTATGTTTACAAGTGTATGATACATGACTCATGTTTCCCAGTGTATGATACATGACTTATGTTTACCAGTGTATGATACATGACTTATGTTTCTCAGTGTATGATACATGACTCATGTTTACCAGTGTATGATACATGACTTATGTTTACCAGTGTATGATACATGACTTATGTTTACCAGTGTATGATACATGACTTATGTTTCTCAGTGTATGATACATGACTCATGTTTACCAGTGTATGATACATGACTTATGTTTACCAGTGTATGATACATGACTTATGTTTACCAGTGTATGATACATGGCTCATGTTTACCAGTGTATGATACATGACTTATGTTTACCAGTGTATGATACATGACTTATGTTTCTCAGTGTATGATACATGACTCATGTTTACCAGTGTATGATACATGACTTATGTTTACCAGTGTATGATACATGACTTATGTTTCCCAGTGTATGATACATGACTCATGTTTCCCAGTGTATGATACATGACTCATGTTTCCCAGTGTATGATACATGACTCATGTTTCCCAGTGTATGATACATGACTCATGTTTCCCAGTGTATGATACATGACTCATGTTTCCCAGTGTATGATACATGACTCATGTTTCCCAGTGTATGATACATGACTCATGTTTCCCAGTGTATGATACATGACTCATGTTTACCGGTGTATGATACATGACTCATCTCAGTGTATGATGCATGATTCATCTCTCTCAGTGTATGATACATGACTCATCTCAGTGTATGATACATGACTCATCTCAGTTTATGATACATGACTCATCTCAGTGTGTGATACATGACTCTTTTCTCGCAATGTTGGATGCATGAAGAATCTCTGTGTTGGATACATGAGGCATCTCTCAGTGTTGTGTTCATGTAAGCATGTATAAGTGTTGGATACATGATGCATTTGTCAGTGTTAGATACATTATGCATGTGTCTGTGTTGATACATGCATGTATCAGTGTTGGATACATGATGCATTTGTTAGTGTTGGATACATTATGCATGTGTCAGTTTTGAATACTTGATGCATGCGTCAGCGTTGGATACATGCATGTATCAGTGTTAGATACGTGATGCATTTGTCAGTGCTGGATACATGAAACATGTGTCAGTGTTGGATACATAATGCTAGGATACATAATGACTAGGTGTAACAGTAAAGTGCACTAGTTGAAAGTATTGTTCAATACTGCTAACTAGTGAATGTTCATAGTGAGGATGAACAACACACTGGCTGTTGCTCACAGGGAGGATGAACAACACACTGGCTGTTGCTCACAGGGAGGATGAACAACACACTGGCTGTTGCTCACAGGGAGGATGAACAACACACTGGCTGTTGCTCACAGGGAGGATGAACAACACACTGGCTGTTGCTCACAGGGAGGATGAACAACACACTGGCTGTTGTTCACAGGGAGGATGAACAACACACTGGCTGTTGCTCACAGGGAGGATGAACAACACACTGGCTGTTGTTCACAGGGAGGATGAACAACACACTGGCTGTTGCTCACAGGGAGGATGAACAACACACTGGCTGTTGTTCACAGGGAGGATGAACAACACACTGGCTGTTGCTCACAGGGAGGATGAACAACACACTGGCTGTTGCTCACAGGGAGGATGAACAACACACTGGCTGTTGCTCACAGGGAGGATGAACAACACACTGGCTGTTGTTCACAGGGAGGATGAACAACACACTGGCTGTTGCTCACAGGGAGGATGAACAACACACTGGCTGTTGCTCACAGGGAGGATGAACAACACACTGGCTGTTGTTCACAGGGAGGATGAACAACACACTGGCTGTTGCTCACAGGGAGGATGAACAACACACTGGCTGTTGCTCACAGGGAGGATGAACAACACACTGGCTGTTGCTCACAGGGAGGATGAACAACACACTGGCTGTTGTTCACAGGGAGGATGAACAACACACTGGCTGTTGTTCACAGGGAGGATGAACAACACACTGGCTGTTGCTCACAGGGAGGATGAACAACACACTGGCTGTTGCTCACAGGGAGGATGAACAACACACTGGCTGTTGTTCACAGGGAGGATGAACAACACACTGGCTGTTGTTCACAGGGAGGATGAACAACACTCTGGCTGTTGCTCACAGGGAGGATGAACAACACTCTGGCTGTTGCTCACAGGGAGGATGAACAACACACTGGCTGTAGCTCACAGGGAGGATGAACAACACACTGGCTGTTGCTCACAGGGAGGATGAACAACACACTGGCTGTTGCTCACAGGGAGGATGAACAACACACTGGCTGTTGTTCACAGGGAGGATGAACAACACACTGGCTGTTGCTCACAGGGAGGATGAACAACACACTGGCTGTTGCTCACAGGGAGGATGAACAACACACCGGCTGTTGCTCACAGGGAGGATGAACAACACACTGGCTGTTGTTCACAGGGAGGATGAACAACACACTGGCTGTTGCTCACAGGGAGGATGAACAACACACTGGCTGTTGCTCACAGGGAGGATGAACAACACACTGGCTGTTGCTCACAGGGAGGATGAACAACACACTGGCTGTTGCTCACAGGGAGGATGAACAACACACTGGCTGTTGTTCACAGGGAGGATGAACAACACACTGGCTGTTGCTCACAGGGAGGATGAACAACACACTGGCTGTTGCTCACAGGGAGGATGAACAACACACTGGCTGTTGCTCACAGGAGATGAACAACACACTGGCTGTTGCTCACAGGGAGGATGAACAACACACTGGCTGTTGCTCACAGGGAGGATGAACAACACACTGGCTGTTGCTCACAGGGAGGATGAACAACACACTGGCTGTTGTTCACAGGGAGGATGAACAACACTCTGGCTGTTGCTCACAGGGAGGATGAACAACACACTGGCTGTTGCTCACAGGGAGGATGAACAACACACTGGCTGTTGTTCACAGGGAGGATGAACAACACACTGGCTGTTGCTCACAGGGAGGATGAACAACACACTGGCTGTTGCTCACAGGGAGGATGAACAACACACTGGCTGTTGCTCACAGGGAGGATGAACAACACACTGGCTGTTGCTCACAGGGAGGATGAACAACACACTGGCTGTTGCTCACAGGGAGGATGAACAACACACTGGCTGTTGCTCACAGGGAGGATGAACAACACACTGGCTGTTGTTCACAGGGAGGATGAACAACACACTGGCTGTTGCTCACAGGGAGGATGAACAACACTCTGGCTGTTGCTCACAGGGAGGATGAACAACACACTGGCTGTTGCTCACAGGGAGGATGAACAACACACTGGCTGTTGTTCACAGGGAGGATGAACAACACACTGGCTGTTGTTCACAGGGAGGATGAACAACACTCTGGCTGTTGCTCACAGGGAGGATGAACAACACTCTGGCTGTTGCTCACAGGTAGGATGAACAACACACTGGCTGTTGCTCACAGGGAGGATGAACAACACACTGGCTGTTGCT